CCCCTCTCTCTCTCCCTCTCTCCAAACAATATGACTACAATTGGACATAAGTGTGCAAGGTTCAGACTTTCCTTTTTGGGTAGCTTCAGTACTTGAAGTCTTTCAGAGGGAGAGAGTAAGACAGTGAAGAGACAAATATATACACACAAACATACATGATTTACAATTTACAGAGAGGAGACGCACACTGAGAATTTAGTTTTTGTTTTAGTTAGAGTTTTACGGCACTTGCAACACAATAAAGTCATATAAGTGCTGAAGATTAGAGGTGTTACAAGCGAGTGACAAACACAAAACAGAAGGAGAGATAAGAACGAACGGATGTTTGATAGGAAAGAAGGAGCAAACCAGACCAGAGCACCCACCAACCATCCAAGCATACTGAGATAAAGACACAGAGAGAGAGAGAGAGAGACAGAGAGAGAGAGAGACAAAAAGAGAGTACACACACACACAGCCTCACCTTGTTTATGCACGGTGACCCTTGACCTGTTGTAGGGGTCAGCCACCCACAGAGTGAAGCAGTAGCTGTTACACAGGACACTGCCGTTGCTCGGGAACACCTGGCCCACCAGGCCCACCCCACTGCCGCCCACTGACGATGACGATGACGACGATGACGACACAGGCTGGTGCCGCCTCTGGTACCTCCGCGATGACCCCGCCCCCGGGCCCCCGCTGTTGTAGGACCGCTTGTCCAGCCCGGGGTTACCCGCACCGCCCATACCACGCCCGTTGTTGTTGTTGTTGTTGTAGTTGTTGCTGCTGCCGTCTAAGCCGGCGTAGGATGAGGACGGGTGGTCGTCGTAGTAGGCACACAGACTGCCGTGGCCCGAGGGGTGGCCGGAGGAGGAGGAGGAGGAGGATGATGATGATGACGATGATGATGATGATGATGATGATGATGATGATGATGATGAGAGCGAGGACGACAATGAGGCAGCGGCAGCGGCGTCGTTACTATATCCAGTATCACTGACGGCGGGGTCGTCGGCATCATCATCATCACCGTGGTGTGAGTTGACGATGGGGGTGGTCGTAGTCGTGATGGTGGGGGTATCGGTACTCCTTGTGTCGCTATCCACATTGTTGTTGTTGTTGTTGTTGTTGCCGTCGTTTGTCCAGTCGTCGGCGCCTGCTACTCCAACACTGGCGCCATTGCTGTTGTCATGGTAATCGCTGCTGCTGCCGTTGCCGCGCAGGGTGTCAGGAGGGGTCAAATCCGGGTCAGGGGGGTCAGCGGGTGCGGCTTGACCCTCGGCGGGGTCATGGGGGTCACGAGGGGCGTGGTCAGAGTAGGGGGCGGCACTGGACCATGCCCCGCCCCCACCCGGCCGGCCAGAGGTCAGAGGTGGCTCACTGCTGGACACTGGCAACACAGACAGACAGAGAGAGTTGGGGTGAGTCAGTCAACAGAGGCACAGCCACAACATCCACACAACAACGGCATGGGAAAAGTACAACATGATCTATTTTCTAATGAATATGGAGATAGTTTTATCAATATAACATAAATAGTATCGTAGTAATTATACGTTATTATATATATTAACAATAATAATAATTTTAAAAAATTTAATATAATAATAATACCAACAATCACAATAATAATAAAATAAGATAATGATGAAGATGATGATGAGGAGGAGGAGG